GCGCTTTCCAGGCAGGCGCGGTGCCCCTGAGCTAAATTCCCAGCCCAACCTCGGCTTTACTTCTCAGGTGCTGGTGGCTGAGGCAGAACCGGTATCCCCAGAGCGGACGAGGAGAACAGTCCCCAGCTCGTGGGCTCAGAGGGATCACACTGGTCATCGCTGAGTACGTGGCTGGCACACAGAAGGCGGCACACTCTGGACCTTTCTTCCACTCTTCCCAGCTCAAAAACACTCTGCTTCCTTTTATTAAAAGTCACTCTCCTCTTTTCCTGCTTTTACTTGGCCCAAACAGAGCAGAGCCTGTTTTTTTCCTACCTTTAATAAATGCGAAACTTCGCCACTGCTAAAAAAAAAAAAAATCAAGATGGAATGGTGTGCCTAGCACTTGGGAGGCTGAGGCAGGAGGATTGGCTTGAGTTCAAGGCCAGCCTGGGCTACATAGGGAGACCTTGTCTCCAAAAAAAAAAAAAGAAAATCAATCAATCAATCAATAATTTAAAACCAAGATGGGCACCCTTCTGCAGGCTACCTGGTTTTTAAGAACATTTTACTAGGAGCCAGGGATGTAGCTCAGTGGTGCAGTTACAGTTCCTGCCTGGCAAGCACGAAGCCCTGACTTCAACTCCCAGTAACCGCCGCCCCACCCAAGAACATAGTACTCGTTTCTTAGTTGCAGGATTTAGCAGCAAACTGGAAAGAGGCCCACATTTTAGGCCAGTGCCAGGTTCCGCGACTCCAGGGTGGGGGAAGGGGGCTGTTCTGGTGCTGCCTGTCGCGACTTCCTGGGACACTCAGGGACCTGCCCCCTGGGGGAGGAGGGGTCCCCAGGACACTTCCGGCACAGCCTGGGGCTGCACAGCCGGGCCATCCCAACCCGTCAGTCTGTCCGAGGAGGGATCTGGCCCTCGAGTTGAGTCGGGCCTTGGTTTGGGTCTAGACGTGGCCCTTTAGCTCCTTGCTTAACCCCAGTCGCGTCCACTTGTCTACTTGTACCACTTCTGTCCCGCACAGCCTTTCACATGGCTTCAGGCCTTAGTTTTCTCACCTGGAAACTGAGATGAATCATAGCCTTTCCTGTTTACCGTGTGATTTTGCAACGAAGTTCATCCATGCATTCCTCAAACAACGGCAATGGGAGAACCAGAGCACTCACCACTGCCCGCCCTGCGCATGCGCCCGTCGGAAGGCGCCCGTGGCCCCGCCCACCACAGAGACGCCAGTCACACGCGGGAAACTGAGGCCAGAAACTCCCCGGTGATCCCTCACGGAACCCACTCTACAGGATACTCTGGGATTTAGGCCACTATACTAGGGCTGGGCCACGGTGGGTGCCCTTCCAGAAATAGTGGCCGAGTGGCCGGGCAAAGGGACAGCCTGGTCGCTCTGTCTAGGGTCTGGGGCGCCACCACCCCTTCCAGCAGGTGAGAACCATCACGTGCACCTGGCGGCCTGTATATCCCCACCTCACATCTGGGCCTTCTGTGGGGCACCCGGTAGTCACAGGGCCGGGGCTCTGGGAGAAAGCGGGGTCCCGAGGATGGATCCTGTGCTCTCATCGTGACAGTGTGATGGCTTCTCTGAGCCTCCTCTCTAAAGTGGGGCGAGCTGTGACCCTTAGTCAGGTGGGTGTGGGTCGCAAACTCCCAACAGGACCTGGAGGGGTGTCGCCGGCCGAGCTGACTCGCTCCTTCCCCAGGCCCTGGTACCCTGGAGGACGTCCCGGAAACCAGCGCTGCCTTAGCCTCCCCTCCCATCAGAGACTGATCTTCTGAGGGGTCACAGAAGATTCACTTTTCCTCAGAAGTACTTGAAGTACATCGAAGTGGCTTGATTCTAGGACCCCCTTTGGATACCAAAATCAGACGACGTTCAAGTTCCCTGCATCATATAATCTATGCGTATCCTCCTGCATACTTTAGTCTCAACATTACTGTTTTGTTTTGAGACAGGGTCTCCCTATGTAGTCCAGGCTGACCTTGAACTCACTGTGTAGCCCAGGCTGGCCTCAAACTCGAAGCAATCCTCCTGCCTCAGCCTCCCGAGTGCTGGGGTTACCGGCATGCACCACCATGCCTGGCTGTAATAAATTTTTCAAAGCTTTCACCGTACATTTTGATCTTTCCTCAAAGCTGACACATTTGAAGCCTCCACATCCTGGCTCCTTTCTGTGTCCTCTTAATTCTACAGCCAGCGGTGTTCAGCATATCACCAGCCTCCCTCATCCACAGGACCCAGCACAATCCCTGCCTACCTGGCTAGTGGGTTTCAGCTCTGTGCCACCCCCTGGAATTATACAAACAGCCCAATCACAGCCACTCGCTGGGACCAGGGACACTTCCACCTCTTTTTTTTTTTTTGGTACTGGGGATCAAACTCGGATCTTGCGCTTACGAGGCAGGCGGTGGAAACACTGAGCTAAATCCCCCCCCTCATTTTTTTTTTTTTTTTTTTTGACAAATTCTTGCTAAGTTGCCCAGGCTGGGCTGGAACTTGTGATCCTCCTGCCTCAGCCTCCTGAGTTCTGGGACTATAGGCATATAGGCATGTGTCACCAGGCCTGGATAACACGTCTACCTCTTAATGCTATAGAGCCTGTCTGGTCTGCCACAGTCCCTGGCAGTTCCCACGGCACCCACCCAACTCTTGTGTCCCTGTGTGGCCTGAGGAGTCCGATGTGCACAGCGGGGAGTACTTAGGACTCCTAAACTGCTGCGGACCCTTCTGCCCAGTGCCCAGTGTCCTATGCCCGGCCATCACCGGGCAGGAACCCACCTCATCAATGAGGTAACAGAGGCGATTAAACAAGGGTCTCACCTGTAATCCCAGCACTCAGGAGGCTGAGGTAGGAGGATCCCCAAGGCCAGTCTGGAATACATATCGAGACTCTGTCTCAAAAAAACAAAACGAAACAACCAAAAAACCCCCACCTTCTTAACCAATTGTTGGGGCGGGGGTTTTGGTTCGTTGTTTTGGTGGCTTGTTTTGCCGTGGCAGGGCCCGGGTTTGGCCCCCGGTTCCCAAAAAAACCCCAAAAACCAAAAAACCAATTGCCGTTTTTTAAAAGCCTTTCCCATGTGCCCAGGACTGTACTGGGGCCTCAGAGCTCTCACAATAGTCACCCCGAGAACAAGCAATTATCCTCACTTTACAGATGAAGAGACTGAGGCACAAGTAAGTAGGAAACTTGCTGCGAGCACATAGTTAATAGGAAGGCGGCCCAGAGTTGAACCTGACAGTCTGGCTCCAAACTAATTTTTGTCTTGGGACGCAATTTTGGTGTCAGCAACAAAGGGGGACTATGCTCAAGATGCCAGTGAGTTCCAGACAACAGAATGTGACGTTCTTCATGTCCTAACATTGCACATTCCTGAAAATCATGCCATACAATGGCCTATGTTTTCTGACAGGAAACCCCCGTGGCAGACACCTAACTTCTGCCCAGTTGGCATGCCTCTGTCTTTTTAGCTCAGTGTCTGACTTCCCACCTAGCAACTGTTTTTCCCAGCTCCTCTTGAAACTATGGGAAGGAAGGTCTAGCAGATGAGCTACGAGGAGTGATCTTTGGGACAGGTCTGCTGGCTGAGTGTGGGTGCAGTGGCTGGAGCTGGAGCAGCTACTTTGGACCAGGAGATGCAGATCAAATGTCTCAGGACAGAAGTTATAGGAGCCAGGAATGCTGGATGACTTTACAGAGCAGATCAGTCTGACCTTTTTACCTGAGACCAGCCTCTCCCTTCTTTAGGTTATTATTGATTGCATGTTTCTTTCCACATTTGAAATGGAATGATAGCTTACAGACTGTCTCAGAAGGGAAGATGTAGCCCTAGCCCAGCTGTTCCCGGCCCTCTCAGTCCTGGAATTCTGTGCTTTGGGATAGGGCAGGGCAGGGCTGGGCTGAGAACACACAGCAGTTTTCTTTCCTTCCTTTTTCCATGTGAACTGTTTTCCCTTGTCCCAAACTTCTGTAATTGCTCTGGGGTTGGGCTACATTTAAAACTCAAGTGGAATGAAGGAAAAAAAAAAACTCAAGTGGAACAGAAGAGGCTCTTCTTGGGTGAATTTTCCTTCTGGTCTCTAGACCGCTAGGAAAGATCATGACCCTTTTGCAATAAGCAGACATCCACTCATTTAGGGGATTTTTTTATTGGCTAATTTTTTTTTTTAAGCCTTATTTTCCCAGCAAGTCTGGGATGTAACATTTCCTAGGGAAGAAATATTTAAGTTTATGTGGCTTCTTTGAGCTCCGTGGGGCAGCTGGGACTTCCCTGGGACAGAGGACGGGATGGTGAGGGTCAGGGCTGGGGGTTCGGGCCCTGGGGAAACTGAGGCACAGGCAGGAATGGGGACAGCTCACTGAGGAGCCAAGCTTGCCACACATGGAAGTCACAGTTGGTTAAGGGCTAGAGTCAAAATGGCACTGCCCACAGGGAATTGGCCTGGCAAAGATGGCACCTGTGAAGCAGGAGCAATGGGCCCAGTGAGCAGTTCCTCAGGCCTGGCTCAAAACTGTTAGTGCCTCAGGTGCAATAGGGTTGTCCCACTGAGCCCCAGCACCTCCCCTTCTTTTTTTTTTTTTTAGGTACCGGGGATTGAACTCTGGTCCTTGCGCTTGCGCAGCAGGCAGTGAAACCACTGAGCTAAATCCCCGGCCCCTACCTCCCCTTCTTTCTTTGTAAATCTTGAGACAGGCTCTCACTGAGTTGCTCAGGTTGGCTGAGAACTTGTGATCTTCTTGCCTCAGCCTCTGGAGCAGCCAGGATTACAGATGCGCACCACGGCACCCACCTCCTCTCTGGTCAAACAGACGATTACGCATTGGAGTCACAGGTTTTCCTTGCCCCCAAAAGATGAAGAAATTTCATAACAGAAAGATGAGGAAGTTCATAATACTGCTATGAGAATGAGGAATTGCAAAAGGCGAAAAGGGGATTGCTTTAATTTCACTTTGGGATTGCTTTAATTTCCCTGAAATGTGAGAAACTCTGTTTGGGATTTCTGCCTTTTTTTTTTTTTTTTTTTTTTTTTTGAGTCAGCTTCTCACTATGTAGCCCAGGCTGGCCTCCACTTGTGGTGATCCTCCTGCCTCAGCCTCCTGAGAGCTGGGATGACAGAGGTGCGCCACCATGTCCAGCCACTGCACCCAATTTTAAGGGTACACTTCAGTAGCGCTAAGCCCTTCACCCTGTCGTGGGGGCCATTGCTTTTGAGTCCTGTATCTCAGGATCATGAGATAGGAGTTTGTCACTTCTCACTGAGCTCTCCTGTCCCCTGTCCCTGTGGTTTCCTCCCCCAAGCTGTTTGCACTCCAGACTTTAGACCAGGCTGGGGACAAAGCCAGTGGCCACCCGGATGCAGCCCAGAGCCTGCCCGGCAGCCCCAAGAGTTTGTGTAGAAGTCACCAACCCCACGGGGACTGCACAGCATGGTGGCCTTCATGAGTGTTTGTCCCTAAGATGCCCTCTCCGGGAGTCAGCTGGCTCAGCGGGGGCCATACACGGACAGGACAGCCTGTGACTTTCAGGACCCGGGAATGGGTCAAATCAGAACCTAATCTGCAGGCAGGCAGGGGTCCAGCCTCCCAAACAGCGCTGCTTGTGGTGGCCCAAGCTGGGGTCCTGAGGGCTCGGAGCTGAGCCCCAGTGCGAGCAAGTCACAAGAGCCCACAGGACAACCGGTTCATCACAGAGCCTCAAGAACAAGCGCCACGTGTCTGAAGTAACACAGCATGGGCACAGTGCATGTGCCACAGTCTGCCCCGTGTGCACGCACATTCACTAGTCGTACAAGCGCCACCACTGATCTCAGAACATCTCATCCCCCAGAAAGAAACTCTGGGTGCCACTTCCCCCAGCCCTATGATCTGCTTTCTGTCTCTGGGGCTATGTCCCCTCAGCCATCTCATAGAAATGGAACCACACCCCATGTGGCTTTTTCTGACTTCTTTCATTCAGAAGAAAGTTTGCAAAGTCTGCCCATGTTGTAAGGATGTATCAGGACCTCATTCTTTTTAATTGCTAATAGCTAGGCATGGTGGTATATGCCTGTGGTCCCAGCTACTTAGGAGGCTGAAGCAGGAGGATCGATTGAGCCCAAGAGTTCAAGGCCAGACTGGGCAGCATAATAGGAATCTCTTTCTCTCAGAGAAAACAAATAACCCCATATTGTTGGATGGTGGTCCACTGCATGGATTAAGGGTTCTGTGTGCTCACTTCAGCAGCACATATACTAAAATTGGATTACAGGTTCCCAGAGAGCCAGAAGCCATGGGACTGTAAATGGGTACAAGGAGTGGGGTTTTAGGGAAGGCAGCTTTTGCCAGTCCAGAGGCTGAGGTCCCAGGCCTTTGCCAGCAGGAAACCCTGGGATCTTTGATGTGTGGCTCAGTGCAGGTCCAAAGGCCTCGGAACCCGGAAGCCAGCAGTGTGATTCGAAGTCCAGGACCAGAAGCCAGAGAATGAGGGGTGCTGGTGTACGTCCCACAGCTGTGGGGGAGGAGCCCGGGGCACCTGACCTCACTGGGCCCCATGATGGGTGGTACCCAACACACCATGTTCCCAAATGGAATCACCCTCCTTTCTCTCAAAAAGGGCATCTTTCCCAGGTCTCCAGGCTCCCAGAACCAGGAGACACCTGAAATTAACCACCCTGCTCTTCTCCAGTTGTTGGCTACTGGGGTGGCTCTGCCTTGGCTGTTATAAATCACATTGCCTGGACACTCCTGTATGGTGGGGTTTTGTTTTTCGGGTTTTTTTTCAGTACTGAGGATCGAACTCGGGACCTTGCACTTTCAAGGCAGGCGGTGGAACCACTGAGCTAAATCCCCGGCCCTGTTTTATATTTTTGAGACAAGGTCTCACTACATAGTCCAGGCTGGCCTCAGCCTCCCCAGTGCTGGGATTCCTGTATGTTTTTGTATGCACATTCATTTTAATTTCTCTTGTGTATTCTTGGGTGGTATAGTAACACTATGGTTTTTTCGTTTGTGTTTGTTTTTGAGACATAGTCTTGCTATGGAGCCCAGGCTAGTCTTGAACTATGTACTCCAGGCTGGCCTCAAACTTGTGGATCTTCCTGCCTCAGCCTCTTGAATGTTGAGATTATAGGCATGCCCACCACATCTGACCCGGTCTCAAAATAAATAAATAATTTTTAAAGCCCTGACCTCCTCAAATATATAGTTGCAGATATTATTTATATTCTTAAAGTAAAACCAGTAAGTCTAAAAATCATTAAAAGGTGAAATCCTGTCATGGTTGGAAAGATAATTAGCTGACATTCCTTTGTCTTCAGCAGAGATATCAGCTGCTTTTTTTTTTTTTTTTTGGCACCAGGGATCAAACTCAGGTCCTTGTGCTTACATAGCAGGTGGCAAAACCACTGAGCTAAATCCCCGGCCCCAGCTGCTCTTTTACTACCCCTGGAGCCAGGCAGTTCAGCCAGCAGAGTCTAGAGGCTGACAAACCTCCCCTGTTCAGTGGCCACTGCAGAGCTCCTGGCAGGGTCCCCGTCCTGGATGGCACCTTGTGCCTGGCTCAGAGGCCAAACCCAGAACTTGAACCAGCCCAGGCCGCGCCCTGCAGAGCTCAGATTTTCCCCTGGCCCAGCCCCAGCCACCCAGCAGCGCACTCCTGGTGCCTGCCAGGCCCCCAGACAGCCCTGGCTCGCTCACTCCTACTCTGGCCCCAGTTAAGTTAAAGCAGATCCAGGCTTACACCGGGGTAGAAGTGGGAAAACTCACAGGACCCAACTGAGGCTTTTGCTGAGACAGGATCTTGCTATGTAGCCCAGGCTGGCCTTGAATTCAATGGCAAGATCTTCCTGCCTCAGCCTCCCAAGTGCTGGGGTTATAGGCGTGCACCATCATGCCCCACTCAAGGCTTTCTGTGAACCTTCAAAACTGAGGTGGGAAAAACAGGCTTCTCCTGGCCCTAGTTGGTGGCAGAAGACCGAGGGGACACGGTGAGCCAGCCAGCAGCCAAGGCCGACGCTAGGTGAATGTCGAGACCCCGGGGCAGTGCACTGCCTGGCCGCTCCCCAGCTGTCAAGTGCCACTAACGGGGCCTGTGAACTGGAATCGTTTCATGGACCAGAGAGCACTCGACGTCAGTGAGTCACTTTATTATATTCTGCATGGTAAGAGCTCATGCGAGCAGGGCAGAAGCCATCTCACACTTCTGTCAGGTTCTAAACTGGGTCTAGGGCCAGGGATTTACCTCTGGTTCAGGCGCCTGCCTCGCAAGCGCAAGGTCTGATCCCTGGTACCAAAAAGAAAAACTAAACTGGCTCTAAACTTGTGACAACCACGTGACCCATGTGGCCTGTGTGATAACCATATGGCCTGCACCCCAGAAAACTCATCTTGTGAACCCTTCCAAGAAACTTATAAAAATGTTTTCTAAAAAATATTTTTATCATAAAGAAAAATATTTTTTACCACCACAGGATTAGCACATGTTATTTATACACATTATAAGACGAGCACACATTGCATCAATCTCCCCATGGCTGCTCTTGGGCTCGGTCTTCTGGGGGTTTGTTGTTGTTTTTGTTTGTTTGTTCGTTTGTTTTTTGGGGTTTTTTGGTACCGGAGATTAAACTTGGGTCCTTGCGCTTGCGCAGCAGGCAGCAGGTGGCAAAACCACTGAACTAAATCCCCAACCCTGGGCTCGGTCTTCTGGCTCATGCTTGTGGCTCTGCCCTGGGTGCTGCTCCTCACAGAGCTGCTGCTGTGCTGCTGTGACCATCCGTCACTGTGCCGTCCGGAGCCCCATCGGCTCCCCGGCTGCACCAGTGTCCGGATTGCTGAGTTCCAGCCCTGCCTGTCATGACTGGGTGAGACAGATTCTGCACCACTGATGCCACCTCGGCTTCCAGCTTATGCCACAGGTGGGCTCCCCTCTGTCTTGCTGTAAATGTGATAAATGCTCAATAAACTGTTGCATTCCAGGGCTGGGGATTTAGCTCAGTGGTGCCGCCACCTGCCTTGCAAGTGCAAGGTCCCGAGTTCAATCCCCAGTACCAAAAAAAACCCCAAAACAAAAAAATCATTGCATTCCACAGCTTGCTTGCCTCTTGAGATCTTTGTTTGCAGATGCACCGACTTCTCGGAGCCCCGGGGTGGCCTAACTCAGAGAGCCTTTTGGCTTCGAGAGTAGCCTCTGTGTCCACTCACAACAGCGGGGGTGGGGGGGTGTCTTTAAAACACCTGAGCCAAAAGAACTGCAGCCTGTGCAGGGAGTGGATGCTGGTGACACCACTCATGAATGACGGAGCTCAGTCCTCCTCCCAGAGGACTTCCAGCCCTGTCCCAGGCTCCTGGGCCCTTCCCCACACTCAGCCCCAACATGGCTGGCTTCCTGGAGCCCCCTGGAAGAAAGATGCTTCCGGCCCAGTTGTGCCTTTTTTTTTTTGAGACAGGCTCTGGGCACCTAGCCCAGGCTGACCTTGAACTCTCAGCAATCCTCCTGCCTCAGCCTCCAAGTGCTGGGATCCCAGCCACTCTTCTTGCCTGTCGCCTATAGAGCCCCAGATGCTCACATGGCCCAGGCGACCTCTGACCCGACACAGGCCCCTGCCCCAGCCCTCATCCCCCCCTCATGTCAGGCTCGGGGGCGGAGGAGGGGCCTGAGCCTGGTCCCTCGGCATCACCTCCAGCTGTGCCAAGCCCTGTGGTGGCGGCCACCGCTGGGCCACTCACAGGTACAGTGTCATGGCCGCGTGGGTCATGGGGCAGTATCGGGCATGCAGCTGGGCCAGCAGAGCCTGGGACGTGGCCTCAAAGTGTGTGCCCTGGCTCTTCTTGTTCCACACGTGCACAGCGTAGGTGCCGTTGAGGAGCCGTGCCAGCTCTTCGGGGCTGACATCCTCGAAGTACTTCTTCCAGCTCTGCCAGGGCACGGGGTAGAAGGCCTGGCGGGGCAGGGTGGTGACGCCATGGCAGCTGTGGCTCTGGGCCAGGCTGCGGGTGCTGCACCACTTCTTGAAGACGCGCGTGAGCAGCTGCGGGCCCTGGTGGCCCCACACCCAGCCGTTGTACTGGGCCACGAAGTCACGCATGCACAGGGCCAGGAACTCGTGCTGCCGCTCGAAGGCCAGGAAGGCGCCATTGAGGACGTGGCGCGACTGCATGCCCAGCGCGTTGCTGAGGTTCCCCAGGCTACGGAGGACGATGAAGTCCGTGTCCAGGTAGATGCCACCAAACTTCCACAGCAGCGCGAGGCGCGCAGCGTCCGAGGTCACGGGAAGCAGGTAGGGCTCCCAGCGCCACTGCGCAGCCGCATGCCAGGCAGCCAGCGGGGTCCCACGGAATAGCGCATCCAGGTCCAGCGGCAGCATCTCGACGTTGGGGAAGCAGCCCAGGAGCGAGATGCCCAGGTGCCGGGGCAGGGGGGCACCGCGGCCATGCAGCCCCTTCATCAGCACCGCCACCCGTGCCTCGGGGTGCGCCCTGGCGGCCGACTCCACCGAGCACATGAACAGGAAGCTGGGGTTGGTCCGGTCCGACGTCTCCAGGAAAAAGATGTTGCCCGCAAGTGGGGTGCTGTTGCGAGGGCCAGGGGGCACCGGCGTGGGGCAGGGGATGTCCACAGGCAGGTTATAGAGGTGCCCTTGGTCCCTGGGCTCTCCCCCGGCATGCCAGTAGAGCATGATGGAGACGAAGCATGTGAACTTGAAGCTGATGAGGAAGAGGGTGCAAATCCGCTGCCTGGGGGAGCCCCACAGCAGTCGCAGCAGGCGGTCTAGGGGCCGGGACATGGTCTCACCAGACCACAGGACTGGCTGGTCTGCAAGAGAGGGGCACCAGCATCCAGGCAGGCAGACCTGTGATCCCGGCACTCTGGGAGGCTGAGCAAGAGGATTGCAAGCTAGGTCAAAGCAGCCTGGGCAACTTGTGACTCAGCAAGAAATAAAAATAAAAAATGGGCTGAGAATGTAGTAAAACAGGAGCCCTGGATGACAGACCGAGATGTCAGTCAGGTCCCTCTCACTCTCCAATAACGTGTGAACTCCTGAGGACTGGGCCAGTGTTGCCCACAGTGGGCAGCTGGGGTCCAGCTTATGCAGGGACCATAAAGGGCTGGCACTGCCACCTGGCATGCAGGCCTCTGCCTGGTGAGGCCTGTGCCCCTCTGCCTGTTATGGCTGGCAGCCTGTCATCAGGGACCAGTGCTGCCCCTCTCGGCCGTGACCAGGAGGGGACAGACAGCCCACGGATAACACGGTGAGGCTTGGGGCCACTGGCGTGGACTGCAGCCAGCTGGCGGCTGGGCTGGCTCTGGGCACTTGGAGCCCTGGAGCTCCCAGCTGAAGGGGACTCAGCCCTGAAGCACAGGTGTGGAGTGGGAAGGGACAGGGGGGTCATAGCACAGGCTTTGACCTTGACTAATACTAATGGCTTTCAACCCGGCGTTCTGGTGACGTCCATGTGGCCAGTGTTGAGGGACAGGTGGCCCTGTCCCCCTGTGCTATGTTCATTCATTCATCCAGTCTCCACCTGATAAATGGCATGAGTGTCTCACCGCACTAACTCCTTAGACCCTGACAACCACCTGGGGGACGGTGCTCACCTAGGTCACCCAGACAAGGGGACAGAGACAGTGAGGTCCTGCAGCTGGCGCAGAGTCCCATGGCCCGCAAGTGGCAGGGCAGGTTCATGCTGCCCCAAGCTCCTGGGAGACAGGGGGAGAGCTGCCTGGTGACCCACATGGCACTTACTATGGACAGCAGCCCAGCTGCTACTCACTCAGCCCTTCCGGGCCCCAGTCAGCTCCCTCCGAGCTCTGCAACCCCGAGGGACAGTGGTGCCATTTCTACTGCAGGGCCCAGGAATCCTGGGCACCAAGAGGTTCAGGGACTGACCAGGGGCAGCCTGGGTGCTAAAAGGGCCCACCCCCAACACCCCGAAGAATCCCTGGGCGGCCATCCCTCACCTGGGAGCCTAGGGCTCTAGCAGTGGGCAGGTGGAGGGCAGAGAAGCCCGGCCACGTCACTGCTGGCACCTGACCATCCTGGGCAGCCCACGGGCCTCTGAGAGACCGTCCTGACTCAGAAGTCGGAGCGCAGCCTGTGTCCTCTCGGTACCTGCAAGTCCATCTGCAAAAGATGAGGGAAGACGTCAGTGGGCGGGGAAGAATTAAGACATGGCCTGCCCGGGAAGGGTGGATCCTTCCGAAACAGACAAGGACAGGACACGATGCATGGGAAAATGGCACTTGGGCAGGGAGTCAGACGGAGGAGGCAGGGGGCTCTGCATTTCCAGAAGCACTGCAGGGAAAGATGCAAGTATCTCAGGGACCCAGCACACAGGGCGTCAGCTCTCTCCCTCAGTGACTCACTTGCTCACTGACGAGCTCACACTTGGCAGCCTGAGGGATACTTTAAAAGGACAAGTCAGGGCTGGTGCCGTACGCCTGTTATCCCAGCCCTCGCCTGTTATCCCAGCCCTCGGGAAGCTGAGACAGGAGGATCTCTGCAAGTTAAAGGTCAGCCTGAGCAACATAGTGAGTTCATGTCCCGCCTGGAATACATAAATGAGACCCTGTCTCAAAAGAAAAAAAAAAAAAAAAATGATTACAGTAAAAGTTGCATCGCCAAGAAGGATGGGATGTGTGTTCAAAGAAAGGGGGAGGATTTGGCATACTCAGGGGTCTCGTGGCAATGTGTCTTTTCCTGTAATACTTTTTTTTTTAGCTTAAATATTCACAAGTTCCCATCACACCTTGCTGTTCTCACACATGGTGCCTTCTACTCATTTGCCTACCAACCACGCCCCTGGTTCGGGGCCCTGATCCTGTCTTCCTGCAGGGAGAGGGTATTGTGGTCCTGAGCACTTTGAAGCCAGGGTGAGGCACCGTGATGGGGTACAGACAGACAGGGGGCAGCAGCTGGCCAGCCACTGAGCGAGCCCTGACTGCAGGGAGTCCCAGTGCTTGGCCCTGGGCCGTCACAGGCAGGAAGTGCAGCCTGACCCACGCCCGGCCACCTGGCTGCTGTCTGGTGCCAGACTCGGCCACACCATATTTGGTGCGGGAGCCAAAGCTCAGGAATAGACGCTGTGCTCAGGCCGCCGTGACCTCAGGCCCCAAGCATGCTCCTGTCCCCCACAATGGGCCTCGTGCTGCAGACAAGATCTGGCCCCTGTCACCTGAGCCTGGCACTTCCTGCTGCCTCCTCCTACTGCCCACAGTGGTCCCCGTCCTGCTCCGAACCCTCCTGTGGCTCCCGTTGTCAGGACCCCGATGCAGCTCAGGTAGGAAGTAGGGGAGAGGAGAAGTGTGAACTGGTGGAGACAGCACTGGGCACAGCCACCAGCTGCCCATCTGTCCTCTCTGGGCTCCCAGGCCTGGCCCAGCCCTGAGGATGGTCAGCCCCAGTCCACACGGGACTCACAAGTCCCATCTCCAGGCTAGGTGCCATTGAGAGGCAGATGTCCTGAGCTGGGTGTAGGGGTTCACACCCATAACCCCAGCACTTGGGAGGCTGAGGCAGGAGGATCTTTATGAGTTTAAGGCCAGCCTGGGCTAAAAGAAAAAAAATCAAACAATAAAAGCTCAAGCATATTTAAAGTATATAGATAACCAAAATGAAGGACAATATGGCTGTTTCACTGAATCTAATATGCCTTTTTTGTGGTGCCAGGTACCTAACCCTGCCCTGGCACATGCTAGGCCCGCACTGCACCGTGCCTGATTTTCCGTACTGTGTTGCCTTGCAGGCCAGCTGCAAGGGCCCGGGTGAAGGCAGTGCAGGGAGCAGGTCCCTGGCATCTGTAGCACCGTGCGGCTGCTGCCCTGCTTCTCAGGCCCTCGAGTGACAAGGCAAGGCCAACTTCTGGAGTAGCACCTCACAGGGCTCCAGAGCCACAGAATGGAAGGATTTCTATGTCCCCAAGATGACTCAACAGAGCCTTGCAGGAGTGGGGCGAGTCAGGAAGGACAGGGGAGGAAGAAACAAGTCCCAGGCATTGTGGTTCACAGAAAAGAAGCAATTGACATAAGGCAGAAACAGTAATGAAGCCACTGGAACAAAAGCAAGCCTCCCAAAATATCAGGACTACAGTTTTTAAAAACAGAAGCAAATGTGGTGAGGGTCACAGTGTTTTCTTGGTTTTGGGGGGTTTTTTGGTACCAGGGATCGAACTCAGGACCTTGCGCTTTCGAGGCAGGCAGCAGAACCACTGAGCTAAATCCCCAGCTCTTGTTTTGTTTTTTTGAGACAGGGTCTCACTATGTAGCCCAGGCTGGCCTCGAACTCATGGCCATCCGCCTGCCTCAGTCTCCCAAGTGCTGGCATTACAGGTATGTACCACCCACTCCCACTGGACGATCACAAGTTTCAGTTCAGTTTAATTTGATGACTCAGGAAGACCTTACGTAAAGAAAAAACAATACAGAAAAAAAAAAGAAAGAGCCAGGTGTGGGACCCTGAAGCAGGAGGATCCCTGCATGTTGGAGGCCAGCCTGGGCTACGTAGGGAGTTCATGGCCAGCCTAACGGACATAGCAGGATCCTGTCTCAAAACAAACAAACCAAAGTCAAGAAAACAGTGTAAAATAAAAAAGCATATGGCCAAAAAATATAAATTCAAGCTGAGCGTGGTAGCCCGTGCCTGTAATCCCAGCACTTGGGGGCCTTAGCCAGGAGGATCACTGCGAGTTCGAGGACAGCCTGGACCACATAGTGAGCCCCTGTCTCAAAAAAAAAAAAAAAAAAGAAAGGGATGGGGATTAAGATATAAAATCTCCCTTTGTTGGATTTCTAGAAAACAAAAATAAACAAAACACCACATAAGCAAATCTATAGGATACAGCTAAGGAAATTATCAGAAGAACAGGGTTAGCTTCCAATTCATGTAACAGTGAAAACAAAAATATAAAGCATAGTCTAAAAAATGTTATAAAAATGAAACAAAATACTAAACCAAAAGAAGGAGGAAATAGTAAGATTAAAGTAAAAGTAAATTCTGAAACAGATAAGCAGTAGAAGTGGAAGGGCCAGGGATTTAGCTCAGTGGTTTTGCCTCCTGCTGCCTGGGGCATAAGCGCAAGGACCCGAGTTCGATTCCCAGTACCAAAAAAAAAAATAGAAGTGGGGGATAACAAGTTGGCTCATTGGGAAAAAATTCAGTGAAATACACTGACCACCAACTAACCTGACCATACACCTGACACACAGGGGAAAGGGGGAGGCCCCCACAGACAAGAATGTGCCAGAAAGTACCAAGACCACGGAAGTGATACAGGAGAAGCCTTTGGGGTGTCAGACCAGCTGCTTATGCACTGCCCCACAAATGGAAGAATGAATTCCAAGGGACAAAGGAGGTTAAGAGAATGGGAAAGATTTATTGATAGCTCCTGAGGGATAGGGAGTCCAGGAAGTAGAAAGCCTCCCAGGCCCTTTTTCAGGGATTATTTATACAGAGTCACAATGTGGGTCAAACTTAATCAACCTACAGGATTGTAAGTATAGCTGTTCAGCTAATACTGATCCAGTCGGGAAGAGTGAGGAAGCTAGGGTACACTGAAGGAACAAAGAGATTTTGGGGAAGGGATGGGTCCAGATGGTCACCTACCTAGGTCACTGATCCCTATCTGTACTTCCTGGACCAGGTGGTGTTAATTACAATACAATCTCAAATCACTGCTTCTCCCTCAGGGAGGCATGCAGGTCTGGCCACTGCCTCTTTATCTTGGACCGGCCTTCTTCGGATGCACCTCCAGCTACAGGTTTTTTTGTTTTTGTTTTTGGTACCAGGGATAGAACTCAGGACCTTGCACCTTGCGTTTAAGAAGTAGGTGGCAGAACCCCGGCCCCTCCAGCTACAGTTCTTTATTTTCTGCTGACCTCCTCCAGAGCCCAGTCCCTCTCTGACTGTATATTAATTTCTTTCTAACTCAGCTCCCTATAATACTATTGTAGACAGCTTAGTTGGAAATATAGGCAGTCAGGGCTGAGCCATGGAAGAAATCACTGCAGAAGACAACAGTGGCTGGAGGTGCATTCCTGAAGGCCGGGCTTCAAGACAAAGAGAACTGACTACACCCAAACACTTCCCCCAGGGACAAGCAGCAGTGACTGATATTCTAAATAGGCGTCAAACACCTTGGGCAATCGCCTTGGGTGAGGAACTGAGATCTCCCTAGCCAAGTCCTTTTCCTTCCATGCATGCTTGTTACTCCCTTGTTGACCCAGGCTGTCCTCCAACGTGCAGTGACCTGCTTCCCCGCTTGATCCCCACTTAATATTACCTAAGCCACTATACTTGTTGTAATCTTATTGGGTGACCCTAGGTTTCCCACCTCATACCCACCTTGTGATTTCCCATTGGGTCAATAAAACACCCTTGAGAAGCAGAATGTGTGGACCACCCACTTTCTGGGTCTCTCTCTCTTAGACAAAAGCTATCTTTCCCTCGATAAATTCTTCCTACTCTTTAACATTTGTTGTTCCTAGAATTCATTCTTTGGTTTTAGAAAACAGGAACTTGCACATTAGACGTCTAGCAGGTGGGGAGTTATATTTCCTTTTTATTATTTGGAGGTCATGTATCATCCGCCCTGTATCAGTATTACCCTGACTCTACTTTCAAGGCCTCTAACAATGGAAAAAGAAACCAGTTTAGGAACAATAGTCAAATTTCTCTTTTTCTAGTTAAGGAACAGAGATGGTTGCCAACAAAAGTCAATTTTCAGCAAACAAATTTTGACAAATATTTTAACCAAGCATAGTGGCGCTTGCTTGTAATCCCAGCACTCCGGGAGTCTGAGGCAGGAAGGAGATCACCGAATTTGGGGCCAGTCCGGGCTCCATAGGGAGACCCTGCCAAAGGAAAACCAAAAACACCTGGAACTCTATATGGGCTCACAAAAAAGCCTCAGAATGACTTGAAGCCCTCAGTGGCTTCCATGATTCTAGGCGGTACTGAAACCCTGATGCCCATCATAAAATAAAGCTGGTTGTAAGAGGAGAAAAATTAAACAAAACCAAATGAGCGGGACAAGGTGGCACATGCCTGTAACAGAGGGGAGGGGATCACGGGTACAGTGCGGCTCTACACCCCGGCTCTCATTAGCAGCCAGCCACCTTCAGCTCACG